TGAACACCTGTGGGTGATGGAGGATGCTCGTCTGGATGCGGCCACCATGGTGGCTTGTGTTGGCAGTGCACCCCAGAGGTGTCCTCTCATGTCCCATCCTGCACCCCAAGTGGTGACATGAGGGGCCGTGATTAGTTCATTTACGGGGTTTGTTGGGAATTTTGCCTTGTTTTGAAGTTGTGTGTGTGTGCACGTGTGTGTAGGGATTATGGTTGGTTTTTTCTGGGGGGTATTTGTTGTTGCTTGATCGAGTTCTGTATCCTATAAATGCGTGTCCTCCTCTTCCTCCAGGTCTTCCTTCATGAGGGTGTCGAGAGGAACGATCCAGCTGTCTCCCAGCTCACCGTTAAGGTTCACCTTCTTCTCCTGCATTTCAGAGGAGGTCTCCATCACCTCCAGCGTGGGGTTATCGTGGTAGCCGTTCTCCATCGTTTGCAGCTCCTCGGTCAGGCGCTGCTGCGAGCAAAGAAAACCCCCTGGTGAAAAACAGCTTGGCCATGCTGTGTGTGCCACCTCGGGGCTGTCACCTCCCAGCCAGCCGTGGCCACTGCCCCATACAGAGGTATATAACTACATATAGAGGCTTTCACGGTGAGATTGAGGCTGGGGGCTGCCGTCAGCGCTGGTGCAGCAAGGGGATAGCACGGAGTTGGCGAGAGAGAGATTCTGCTAATGGTGGGAAGGAGGAAAGAGCAGACAGAGACATGTGGAAAATCTCCAGGAGCAGCTGCCAGCTTCAGCCTGGCCGTGGACCTGCGGCTCCATCTCCCCGGGACCTTGGGAAGAGACTGAGCATTGTTGCTGTACCCTGACCCTGCATCTTCACTCCTGCCTCCCCACCTCCATTCTGTGCTTCCCACCCCTTTCTGCTCCCCTGTCCCTTTTCAGCTGCTTTATTATTATTCTCCCCCTCACCCTGGGGGCTGCTCCCACCTTGCAAATGCTGCTGGTCCATTCGCTCCTCTCTAAGCATCATCCTGGAGCTCTATGCTGGAGCTCTTAGTGGAAACCAGTCAGGGGAAAAACAACCCCATCCCCTCCCACCCCTTTCCCTTTGGCCGTGTGTGGTTTTGGCTGATTGATGGATGAATCGGGCACTGCATCACCCTGGTCCTTTGGTAGGCTGCGTGTACCTTCAGCCTCTGGCAGACCCCCATCCCAATTTTGCGTTTGCCGCAGCAGCTCCTTCATCCCCATCCCACCCCAGAGGGATTCACGGGGGAGCTGCAGGCCTCGGTCAGCCCTCTTTTTGGGGAGCACCGAGCTCTCACTAGGCAACCCTGTTGGAAATCTGCCTGGATTTACAGCTTGATTTATTACAGTGCTCTTAATAAATGTCAGGAGACAGGCGTGAGAGGGAACCCATGGAGAAGAAAGGGATGGAGAAGTGAAACTGCAGGGCTTGGCGCTAGGCAGGGGCACTGCGAGGGCATTGCTGGGGGTCCCCTGGGTCCCACATGGTGGGGGGGATGCGGGCAGGGATGACGGGATGCTCGAAAGCGGAGGAGGCACCTGGGCTCTCGCAAGGGCTGTTTCACCCCCCCGGGATTGCTGGTACAACCCCACGATGGATGGATGGATGCTCCCGCCATGGCAAGGCACCCCCCCGCCGTGCAGCAAGGGGAAGGGGTCTTCAAAGCTGGGCTTTAGTAGGCTTTAGTCCTGTTAAAAGCTACTGAATCCTACCAAGCACTGGGGGGTGAGAGCTGGGGGTGTTACAGATGCAGCACCCGCCCCTCCGATCCCTGTGTTGGAACTCACATTAAAGATCAGGGCCACATGTCCATCATCAAACCCGGGGAGATCAGGGTGGATGTGCTGGTTATTTCCAAGGTAAAACAACAGCAGGGTTTACAAGGGGGGGGAAAAACGGTGGGCGGGAGGAGAGGTTGGAGAAAAAAAAAAAAAACAAAAAACTTTCAAGTCATTTTTGGAAAAGAAGCAGGAGGAAAACAAAAGAAACCACCCAAAAACAAATCCAGGAAGGAGGAATGTGTTCGATTTTCTAAAAACGTATTGCAGCTGCTTGGAAGAAGATCTGTCACTGTGCTCGAAGCGAGAGCTGTGCCGAGGAAGTGGCATCCCTTGCTTCGGTTTCGCTACCTCACCCTGTGGCAGGTAGGTATTTGCCTCCAGCACATCCAGCCAGGGCTGGTACTGTTCCTTTATGCCATGTTACTTGGGGATGGGTATCTCCATCCCTAAAAATAAGCATTTTATACCTGTTTTCTGAACATTCTGCTGGGATGTTTTTCACCCTGACCACTGAAACCCCGTAAGCTCCACGGGGACCACAGCGGGGGTCAAATATCTGTCGAGATCTTGCATCTTCCCCGATTCCTTCCCAGAAAATCAAACCTCACAAAAACAAGCCTGACGGTGCCATTGGTTTGCTCTTCCCTGCCTCCTGTGTTTGTCTGCGTTAGATTGCAAACATTTAAGCAAAGGCTGCCTCATCCCTCTTCCTGCAGCTGCGGGCACGTAGGGCAGAGGTTGGGACCCCCTTGGGAAGGATGAGCTCGTTTGTGGGGAAAATGACTGGAAGTAGGACCCAAGGGTTTGCTTCTCCAGCGGGAGGGCTATTTACCCTAATTGCATCATTTGGCCTCTTTCCCCCCCCACCCCTTTCTGTTGCTGCCTTTCCTCTGGAGCTAAATCCTCAGCAGGGGCCGATGCCCACCTCAGGTACGTGGCAAAGCTTGCACCGGTGATGCCGCAGGGCATGGGAACAGCCAGTCCTTACAGGTGGATGCTACACTAAAATCACCCAGATTTGCTTCCTGAGATAAAAATTATATTAATTTTTTTTCCTAGGTCTGTTCTACCTTAAATCCTGCTGCTGCTCTGAAATTTGGCCCTGGCCCAGCTCTCCTAAAGGCTGAGCCATGCAGCACACAGTGTCAATTCTGTCTTGAAGCCATCCTTTTGCCGTCCTGCCCCTGCACCCCTGGGGAGGCATCAGGGTGATGTTGGGCACCCAACCCTGCTCATAAAGGTATTTTGAGGGGTTTTTTGTTTTGGTTTTTTTTTTTTTGGTGAGTGGAATGGGGTGCCTGTGTGGATTCATTTGGAGGGGGAGGTTGGGTTGAGAAAGCCTTTCTTGTCAAAGTTATGACCCAAGGACATTGCTTGGTCCCCGCGGGTGACAGCAGGGTTGGAGGCTGCTCATTGCTGTACCCCACCACCACCAGCCCCTCATTTCCCTGGTTTTCATTCTGGCTGTCATCCCCCCCCCCCCCACCCCCCCAAAGGGCC